CCAGGTCTTATGAAATTAAAAAAAAAAAAAAAAAAAAAAAAAAAAAAAAGGCACGGATCCCCATGCAGTGCCATTTTGCCAAGATGCCACACGTCAGGGCACTCTGATGAGACAAATTCATCTCCCTGCCCTGATGTTCACAACACGGCAACCTCGTGATCCGAGGCCGGGCCCCTGGAGCACTGGCCTAACCCAGGAGAGCAGGAGACCTTCTCCAGCAGGTTAGATGTCCCTGGCACTTCATGCGTCACAGGCAGAAGGACCCCTTGACATGGGCCCTGTCCTTGCAGAAGGTTAAAGTCTAGCTGGGGAAATTAAATCAACAGACAGGAAACTATTAGAGAACAGGAAAGCAAGCGACTGCTAAGCTGTGGGGGGCTGATTTTTAGAGAAATAGGAATTTATTTAAAAGAAGGCGGGGGAGAGGGTCCAGCTGGGTCTTGCACAAGCAGGATTAAAAGAGGCAGAGGGGGACGGGGAAGCCTCCAAGGTGGTGACCAAGCAGTGACAGAAAAGGTACAAAGGAAGCTGGCCTGGGTGGGTGAGAGAGATTGCGTCAGTCAGGCCCAGGGGAAGAGAAGAGAATGCACTCAAACCAGGTGGTGAGTGGGGCTGAACAAAGGCGCTGTCTGCAGAGGTGACAGCAGGTGTGCAGAAACCAGGTGGACGGTGAAGTGTCCTCGGGCTAGCAACAGCGGGAGCCATGGTCATCCCTGAGCCTGAACGGACCCGGGAGAGAGCATACCAGGGTTCTGAGAGGGTGCCCCTCTAGACCTTGCAGCACCTGTGGCCTTTGTAGAGGGAGGCAGCACCCCACAGAGAGCCTACGAGGAGCAACCAGGGAACGCACACCCTGACCGCTGTGACTCGCCACTCCACCAGTCTACTGCTAGAGCCTTGTACCTGCTAAGACCAAGCAGATTCCAGGGTTCCCCTCGTACCTTTGAGGGTGTGAGGCAGAGACCTCAGAGGAGGACAGAGAGTGGAGCCACAGCAGCCAAGGAAAGAGATCCACACAGAGAGACATCATAAACCAAAGCCAGCGGCACACTTGATGTCCTGCAGGGGGACAGATGGGAGGGTCATGGTGACGCAGCTGGGAATGCATGCCAAGCACAAGTGTATGCCTGTCATCTGTGGTGACTGAGACTGGATGTGAGGCATGATGTAAAGACCCTACTGGGGTTCTGTCTCTCTCTCTCTCATTCTCACCCTCTGCCTCTCCCTTTCTCTGTCTCTCAGAATAAATAAATAAACTTTAAAATATAAAATCTATTGGGCCAGCCCTGTAGCCTACTGATTAAGGGAGTCAGATCCCATAGGAGTGATCGCAGTTAGAATCCCAGCTCCAGCAGCTTGGAAACACATTGGACCCATACGCAGACATGTCCCAAATCCTGACAGGATGGAGAAATGGAGGAGAAGGGGTTGAGGCATGACCATGCCCCACTAGGGGGTGCTTTCTCTCTCTCTCTGCCCCCACTCCCGTCCCCCCATCCCCATCCCAGTCTCTCTCTCTCTCTCTTTCGTTCTCTCTCTCTCTCTCTCTCGCGCGCGCGCGTGCATGCGAGCATACATACCCTCTAGCAATTAAAATAGTAAATAAATGAATAAAATATATGAAGTCCTATAGCAAATCTGGCTGTCCATGATGGATATGTAGTGAAATGAGATTGCCCCAAGAGGAAAACTGGAATCATTTCTCTTGACTTTCAAGTCTCTGCCCAAATAGTAGAAGGAGCACCCCGAAACCCCAAACACACTCCAACACATCTCCTCTGCTTGGATTTCCCCAGAGCACTTATCTGCCATCATCATGCTCTCCCTCTCTCTCAAGTTTCTTCTTTCCTCCATGAGTGAGAGGGAGTCAAACAGACAGCACTCCCAACAGTGGGGATGCCGTCATCCACTCAGCTTCTGCCAGCCCTGGATATGGGCACGCAGGCCAGCGTACTCAGGGGGGGTCTCCAGATGGGAGCCTAGAACTTTCCCCCTGGGTCAGCCTCTCAGAGCTCAGAGCGTGGTTACCACTGCCAGCCCCACCTCTTTTCTTTTCCACGTGTCATCATCTGCCTCCCTGAGAGTGGAATTTCCCAAGAACCTCTGTACCAAGCACAATGCCTGCTGGGGTCCCCCTGCTGAAGTCCAGCGGGTGATCCCTCATGAACAAGGACAAGACACACACCAGCCCAAGACAGAGCGCCCTAAAATCCACTCCCAGTCTGCCCCAGAGGGGCTGGGGAGCAGGTCCAGAGATGGGAGGGAGGAGGTGGGAATTCCTTTCCTTGGTTGTCACATACTTCACCCCCATGCAGGCCACACACAGCTGTGACCTGGAACAGCAAAGGCTCCACACCCTCTCCAAAGAGCTGCCCCAGTCCCTCTTTAATAAAAGCTGGAGAGCGACAAATCCGTGGCCCAGTCACTGCTTAAGCTCCCCTTCTCATTTGCTGAAGCGCTGGGGCAGGTCCCATAACTCAGAGTGCCTTTCCGGTTGGAGGGTCCCAAACCATACAAGGACGGCTGCTGCCCCCAGTTCCTGAGGGAGGAAGGTCTGTGCTGACATCAAACGGTCCGTCAGCATCGCTGTTCCAGAAGCCGAGCGCGCTGAGTGGGCCGCACCAAGGTAGCGGGTAACGATTAGCTCATCTCTAATTATATGGGATTTACGATTAGGCAGCAAGTTTATTTTGGAACATTGCAATAACAAGACGCACAGCAGTGGCGAGGACGAGGGGGCGGAGCTCCAGCTTGGCCTTTAGAATATAATAGCTTGTCATTGCCATGGAAACCAGCTCCCTGGGAGTTCGCAAGCACCTTATTCTATAATTATAGAAGATCTGATAAGGGGTGGGGGGGGTGGCGTATTTTTTTTCTTCATAAATTGTATTCCGTGGCTGAAAATAGAAGAACCTGGAGAACAAAGCCTATTATTAACCACCATCTGCTGAGAGGCGGCTGCACTTCAGCTGCCTGAAGAGGCTGTTCCTGCAAGTTCTGCAGACGTGCCCAAAATGCCAGGAGTTGGGAGAACTGCAACCCTAAGACTAGAGGGTGTGTCCAGGCAGTCCAGCCAGGTACAGGGCTCCAGGCTGAAATGTGCCCTTTCTGGGACCAGCTGGAACCAGTGTATGCCAGGGAGCTGCTCAAGTCCCTCACCCACAGAATATGCAAGGCCTCCTTCCTCCCTCCCCCTTGAAGTCCAGGTGGAAACTCAGCCACCCCAACCACAGGACTGGGAGCACATTTCTTACACTTGCTGAACCTCAGTCCTTCGGGGGCTAAAGATTTTTATAATGGGACCAGACAGTGACACAGCAGTAAAAATGGGATACTCTATGAGGCCGATCTTTCTATGAGAAAGATCCCGTTCCCAATGGAGATCTCCCTGAATAAACCAAGTGGGTACGCCTAGAATCCAGGCTGAAGCTGGAATGGGTCAAGGTATCAAGACCTCGTTGGGGCACTATTTGTGTGTCCCTCTCACTCTCTGTCTTGCTATGAAAGAAACAAACAGATAAACTTTAAAAAAAAAAAAAAAAAAAAGAAGAAGATTGTTCTGAGGACATTAACAAAACAATGTGGATGAAGGGAACGTGTTTGGCCAACTGTAAAACCAGAGCCAGACTAGCTTTGGGTGCAAATCATCCTTCATTTAAATATGAGACCTTCCATTTTCAGGTTGAATGATTCTATCAGTAATTCCACAGTAGACATTAAAGAGAACAGTAATGTCTTGGTGTTATGATAATAATAATAGTAATAATATCTTTAATTTACAGAATGGGATAGCCAAGTCTGTACCATATTTTATCAAGCCTGTCTGTCATTTTAGTGGAGTGAGTGCCTTCTGTGTTGAGTCATTTATAAAGAATGGCAGGCCGGTTTGGAGAGCTTCTTTTCTAAAAGGACTTCTGTTTTTAAAATGGGTCGCATCATTACAAACAGAAGCCAACAGCACGGAGCGTGGCTGTGTGTGCTAAAGGCACCGAATTGATAAAATCGCCCGGAGCTGTTTTCTAAAGCTATTCTTTCATCTAAAGAGTTCATCCAATTGCCCTTTAAAAGC